TTTTTCACTGTACCCTTTCATAGATTCTATATCATTGATAAATTTGTCATTCCTGTTTTGATTTGCTTTAGTCAGCTCTTCCAAATTTTTTGTTTTCTTCAAATGCACAATAGAGGCACCAGGAGTTTAGCTCAGGGGCACAAGTGCCTGCCTGGCAAGCGCAAGATCGTGAGTTTCAGCTCAGTACAAAAACAATGCACCCTGGTCATTTGGTATGCTAATTTTGGGTCACGTCCTCTTAGAACTCACCAAGTTTCTTTATTTCTTCTTTACTCAGCTCACAAAGCTCTGGTACATGATGGTTGCTTTCCTTTCCGTTGATGTCCCAGGACCTGTCTTGAGACAGTTGGGAGGCCCTGAGGGTCCTTTGTTGCCTTGTTTTTCCATATATATCATATAAATATATATAGTTGTCATATATATGTGTCATTGTTTTATTTTGTTCTCATTTTTTGGGGTTGAAAGTAGTCATGAGGAGAGGTTGTTATTGATATGAGTATATTTTTGGTCCAGCTTTTCAGTTATGTTTTCAGCTTTATTTGTCTATAGATAGTATTTGAGGGCTGGGGGTTTAGCTCAGTGGAATAAGCGCCTGCCTTGCAAGTGTGCGGTCGTGAGTTCGATCCCTGGTACTAATAAAAAAGGAAAAAGGCAAAAAAAAATAGTATTTGCCCTTCAGCTATTTAATTTGAGTGGCTTGGACTTTGTTCCTGTGTTTTGAGGCAAGAATTAATTCTGGTTACAACAGCATCCACAGATCCACAGCTCCATCATACTCAGTTATATGTGATACACCTCGCTTTTACACTTTCAACCTTTCCAATACTCTTTGAAGTCTGATTTCAATTGTTATTAGCAGTTATTCTATGTTGTCAAAAGAGAAGTGGAGGGAAGAGATGAAGGAATGGGTGAAAAAGGAGTATAAGTTAGCAGGGCGAGAGGCAGACTGGAAAAACAGTGATAGGTGGAAAAAATTAGAGGTGGGTCAGACTTTGCAGGCAGTCACTGGGCTGGGCAGAAGGGTTGTGCTGGGATTTTAAAGAAGGTGACAGAGGGGTGACAAGGCAGTATAGAAGAAGGGAAATAGATTTTGTGACTGAAAAAAGCTACAAGGTGGCCAGAACCTGTGGATATGTTGGTGCACCTGTGGAAAGTGGGAAGAGACCAGCAAGGTGTGGTCTATGTAGGAGAAGAGAAAAACAAACAGAACTGACAGGACAACATGCTGATACGAGAGAAAATAGTGACTAAGAAAAGCAGACTACAGCAAACTAAAAACTTGAAAGACAGATTTTAAAAAGTCGTAGAAACAATCAAAGATATGAAAACAGCATTACTGTGGAAGTTTGAGTTAAAATAAAGTAGGGAGTGAGAAGAGGAAAAGGCTATAAATATCAACTAAGTAAAAGCAACAACAAAAACACCCTGCCATCCAAATCCAGGGTGAAGTCAGATCAAATACTCCAACATGTGGTTCACATGTGACCACTACCCAAAAAGCCTGAGTGTCCACGCAATTTCCTTCCTGCATTGGTCACCACACAAATTTCCCCCCTTTTCCATACCCAAACAAACCCACTCTCAAAAGTTCCCCCTGTTCCCCCAGCCTGCAGGACTGGGCTTGCATTAAGGATTCTTCCCCGCCCCCAGACATGACGGCAGAGCCAGTGGTGTGCCCACTCACAGGCAGGAGTCCATGGGAATCTGTTGGCATTGTGGGCACATTTACATGATACCAAGTGGCCTGTGGGAGTCTGTGGGTGGGTTCACTGGCAGGCAGCAGTCTGTAGAGTTGCTGGCATCTGCAGGTATGTTTGGGTACCAGCCAAGGGATCTATAGGTATCGGGAGACAAGTTTGCTGACAGACAGAAAGCACCAGGTGTCGATGTGTGGTTTGCTCTCAGGCCAGGGGGCAGAGTGGAATCCTCAGGGCCTGATCAAGTGATCCCTCAAGGGTCACTTGTGTGTCCTCTCTCTGCCCAAGGTGAGGAGGGGGCTTCCATTGCCCTCAGGGAAGGATGCCCTTCCCTTGGTGAGGATGCCACCGGACTGTAGCATTCCCTACTATTGGAAGGAGAAGTGATGTGGAGAAAGAGCTGGCTATGCAGAGTCTGTTCCGAGAGTCTAGGGTCCTTCTTTCCTTCAGGCTATTTGAAATCCTCTCATAACGGCTGCTCCCCAGAAGGGCAGGGCTGGAGCTATGTGGACAGTCATGGTGGTCCACATCTCCCCTTTTCAGTGAGTCAGATGTCTGACCAACATCTATCATCTTTCTGATGTTTCAAGATGTTTCCCTCCTCCATGATAGAGTACCAGTGGCTTCAGTGAATCCTCTCTGAGCACCTCTGATGCAACCTTGCCTCTAGCCAGCCATGTTGGAGCCTCATGAATAGGGTCTTTTGATCGGTTGTGCCCACGTGCAGATGAAGGTCGTGTGAACAGCACCGGGTTCAGTGCACAGTGATTGATTGGAGTCACTGTATTGGAAGCATCATTCCCCTGGAAGTGCTCCTCACCTAGTTGCCTGTCTTACTTTATTTATGAATGTAATGTATGTTTGCTGAAGAAATAGAGACAGAGGAAAAGAGGAAGTTAAAATCACCCATACTGCCACAGCAAGATCCTTTCTCAAAATAAAATAAAATTACTCAGACTTTCATCACCTAGAAATGATTTGGCCTTGAATTTGTGTTCTTGAAATAGGAGTTCACTGGTATGGGAAAAAAGTCATTTAAAAGAAAACTACTTAAAACAGGAGCAAGCATATCATAGTAAATAAAATTTAAAGAGGAGAGGAGAGGTTTGGATTGTATTTTGTTTTAAAAAATGAAACCAGGCCAAGGATTTAGCTCAGCGGCATGAGCTCCTGCCTGCAAGCACAAGGTCATGAGTTTGATTCTCAGTTCCAAAAAAACAAAACCCAAACCAAAACAAAACAAAAACTAAAATTTACTTATAAGACTATTTGTACAAATATAAGGGCCTCTAACTTTTATTTTGGGGGTGTTATATACAAATTATTTAATAGCTTGATTAGAAAACAGTCATTCCATCCAGGTATGGCAGTGCATACCTGTAATTTTAGCACTCAGAAGGCTGAAGGAGGAGGATCACCATGAGTTTCAGGCCAGCCTGGGCTACCTAGTGAGTTCAAGGCCAAGCTAAACTACATAGAAGAAAGAATTAAAACAACAATTTCATGTTTGACTTTTCCAAAACAACCCCATGAAAAGTATCCTTTTTGCATTCGTATCTGAATATTTCACAAATTTTTCCAAGGCCTTACCTTACCTTTGTTAGCTACTGCATGATGGTGGGGTCAAGATTATATTTCCTGGTATATTCCTATGTCTTAGTTACTTTTCCACTGCTGAGACAAAATATCTGACACACACAAGTTAAAAGAGGAGAGGTTTATTTTATCTCATATTTTGTAGAGGTTTCAGTCCATAGTCAGCTGCCCTCAAGGCAGGGTAGCTGGCAGAGAGTTACAAGAGAGAAGAAATAGTTCATGATATGGAAGGAGGAAGCAGAGAGGGATCAGTGGAGGGATATACAGGCCTCAGTCACAGTGACTCACTTCTTTCCACCAGGCACCACCTTCCAACATCACGCCCAGCTATAAACCCATCAATAGATTAATCCAGAGTCATATATCCATAATCCTGTACCTCCCGAAAGTCTCACCTATGAGTATATGAGGCCTTTGGGGGACATCTAGATATTATGCAGCGAAACATTATTCAGTCACAAAAAGAAATGAAGTACTGATACAATCTACAACATAGATGGATCTTGAACACATCATGCTTGTCAGGAGTGAAGCTGTCTGTACCTCTGGTATCTAGGACAAGGCCCCATGAGAGGTATGCACAGCTCAGGGAGCTGATGCACATAGTGACTTGACTTTTGCTTGAGATAGTACAGACAGTTTTCTTGTTTCCAGTGAATCCACCAACACATGCTGTTACGGTTTGTGTCTGGATGACCCCCCAAAGCCTTATGCAGTCGTGGGGGCAGGCTTCTAGAGTTTGTGACTGATTCATGGTTCAATGCTGGGATTATGAATGTGAGTGCTACATCCTCCCTAGGGTGTGTAACCTACATAAAATACAAGGGACAGAAATAGTCCAGAAACAGTCTTTTCTGACTTCTCCCTTCATGCTCTTGTTGTTTTTGCTGTTTTCCACCACCATGAACTCTTGCCTTCTGCCATACCACCCTGCTTTGGACCCAGCAGATTATGGACTGAAACCTCCACAAACTATGAGCTAAAAAATATCTTTCCTTCTTGAATTTTGGATGGGTATTTTGCCTCAACAATGAAAGAAAAGTAAGACACATGCTATTCTGATTAGACATTGCTCCTGTCCCAGATCCTACCCTCCCGTAAACTCCATGAATTTAGTCATGTGCTGCAGGTGATGGGCAGTTTGCTTTCTCCCATCAAGATAGAGGACTCCACCTGACCTCAGCTTTTGTATATTGATTTCTGTCTTCTCCACCCCCGCCATCCTCCTTCCACAGTGCAAGAGCTGTGCAGGTTGCGGCATATGTTATCCTAAAAGATAACAATGTAGGATTTCATTTACATGTAATGTCAAGACCAGCATAATGCAGCCAGGGATAGTGGCACATTCCCATAATCCCACAGCTCAGAAGGCAGGGGGATTTTAAGTTTGAGGCCAACCTGGAACACCCAGGCTATAGCAAGACCCTGTCTTGAAACACCATAAATAAATAAAAATGGCAAATCCATAGAGACAGAAGTGGATTAGTGGGGAAGAGAAAATGGAGAATGACTGTTTATGAATACATGATTTCCATTGGGGGTGAAAGTGTGCAATTAGATAATGATCACACATATAGTTGTGCAACTCGACAGATAAGGATGAACCACTAACTTGAGTATTTTAAGGGGACAGATTTTATGGTATGTGAATTGAATCTCAATAAAAATACTTACTAGCAAATTCATAGAAAATATTTGCTGTCCTAGTACTCAGGAGGCTGAAGCTGGAGAGGTCAATGGACTCAATACAGAGACTCTATCTCAAAAAACAAATGGCAAATAAGTAAATAAACGGACGTGATCTCTGCTGCTGGTAAGTACAGTAATACCCAACTTATGGATTGATGAGTTTCATTCTGGGACAGTACTCATAAGTCAAATTTGTTTGTAAATCTGACAGTCAGTCTTATACACCTTTGACACAAATATACAATGTGTACTGCTTAGCACTTCCTAGAAGTCCACATCGTCACTGCTTTTCCTCTTGTGCCCAGACAATCTGGGCCCTGATTGAGCACTGCACTCCTGTGCCTATCACACAGCACAGTGAGCACCCAGCAGCACAACCGGGACAATGTCTGGCAGACAGATGAGTGCTTCCGTGACCAGCTCCCATCTCCAAATGTTCACAAGGCCAGGTCTGCTCATAGCTGCAAACATTTGCAACTCCAAAGTTCTTAAGTCAGGGACTTCCTGTGTACAGAGCTGCCTACATTAATAAATGGTCTCTTGTGCAGGTTAAGGATCCTGAGGGGGATCGAGACTAGAAGAGAAATCACATAATTTTCTGGGGATGACAGGAATCACTGCAGAGCAGAGCCCGGAAGTTTCACTCACATGCTTTATGCCCAGTGCAAAGAAACTACCAGTAACTTCCTCCCAGTGATGATGTTAAGTAGTCTGCTTGTTTTGCATGAAAAGAAATTGTCCCAATTTTAGTATATGTGCTGCCAAAGGGAGCACTATAAAAAGAAAGTACCTTATTAAGTTAACTTGCCATGAAGTTATATGTACTAAAAAAAAATCAACCTGCATTCTTTTTTGTTTTGCAACATGGTCATGTGGTATTGTGGAGTCGGCTTTGAACCCATGCTCCTCCTGCCTCAGCCTCAGGAGTGCTGGCATTACAGGAATGTGGCACCACGCTGGTTTCTGGCCTAAACTGTTACCCAGCTGGCACAGAGGCAGACAGGCAGGTAACCAAGGAGCTACGGAAGAATGAAAGCAACAGATGTCTCCTGACAGCTACACTTTCTCCTCCTTTTACTTCTCCGTCCCTCTTCTCTTCCCCTCCTTTCTTTTGTTCCATTAATGTTCTTAAGGTTGCCCAAAAATTATATTTATACAATTAAGAATAATTTAGTCTTCTAATAAGTATTCTGATTAGTTTGTGGTATGATCCAAAACTACAGGGAAAGCTTAACATTTAAAAATATTCTTAGAATAAAAGACACATTGCAGTTAACCTTCCTCAAAATATAATACCTCACATGCAACACATCTACCCCATAATTTTTGCCACTTTCTGAAGTAGTCCTGGAAATCAGAGGTGCATGTTTATATTCCTACCCACCAAAGAGGAGCAGACAGGAAGAATACAAGGCCAGGTTCAGCCTAGACAACTTCGTAAGACCCTGTACGAAGGACCAGGGATGTAGGCTATCACTGGATTCAGCCTCCCGTTGCTTGGTGGGAATGAACGCAAGAAAGGAGAGTGGAAAGGTTTCCTCAGGCCGGATTGTGCCATCTGCTTCCCAGTCACATTCACACACTGGGTCGCAGGGCTCCTGCAGCCCTGTCACTCAGTGAGCAGACGCGTTCTGGGAAACACGTTGGCGGGGGATTTCATCACTGTGCCTCCATCACAGAGTACTTAAACAGATGGCTGAGATGCCACTAGCAGATCTAATCTTACGGGACCGCCATTGTGTGTGCAGACTGTTGTTGACAGAACTTTATGAGGCTGTGCAAGGCTGCATGCCTACAAAACAAAGCCTGTTTCCTTTGTTGCATGGGGGTGTGGGGGAGGGCACTGGGGATTTTAATTTTTTTATTTTGAGACAGGGTCTCACCAAGGCTGGGTTAAGACTTGCAGTCCTCAGCCTTCCACGGTGCTGGGAATCCAGGGTGTGTCACCACACTTGGCTCGTCCTTGGTGTTTCTTGGGGACAGACTGTTAATTTTAGCACCGCTATCAGGGAACCACGCCACCCATCAGCACTGCCCATGGTCCTGTGCCCTCTTTGGTTGGGTCCTTGTCTGTTAAACCTCAGCCAGGCTCCCAGGAAGCAGCAGGGAAGGGCGTGCAGGTTTCATCTGAAGCAACTTCTTCCCTGGCCCCGCTGCCTGCTGCCTGCTGTCCCCAGCCCAGCCACACTGTGACTCTGCACCACAATTCCACTCATCAGGGCCCTGTGGCACCAGTCAGTGCTGTGTCAAGGCTCTGTGTGACCCTCCCTCGGGGTGTCCCTAAATGGAAGAAAATGCTGGGTAAAGTTCAGTCACACTGGGGCACAGACTGGATGGAGATGGGGCCTCCTGGGACATCAGAGGCTTCTGTTCCCCCACATTGCTAAGCCCCAGGGCTGCCTCTGGAAGGCAGAGCCACAGGCACTGCTGCAAGCCCTGTCACATCAGAAGAGTGACCTGGGAGAGGGGTTATCTGTGAGGGGGTTAGGGAAACACACTGTTGGTGCAAGGTTTTGTTTTGTTTTCCAGTGCTGGGGGTGGAACCCAGGGCCTCCGCCATGCTAGGCAAACACTGTGTGCCTGGAGCCACCTCCCAGGCCTGGGTGCCCAGGCCAATGAGCGGGACCCTGTCCAGTTTCAATCACACCAGTTACACAGGCGGCACTTTGCCTTCCAGGAACCTTGCTCCGAGCTCACCTTCAGGGCTGGAACCAGAGACCCCCAAAGCTCAGCTGAGCCTCACCTGTGACTGGCTTCAACTCTGTTCCCAGGTCCCTCCTGCCACAGATGATGTGTGCAGCTGGGCAGGGGAACACAGGCCTCAAGGACCAGCGTGGGACACTCTGCTTCTGTCTGTGCCTTCTGATCCTGTCCTGAGTCTGAGGGACCAAAACGTAGCCGTTTCGATGGTTGCTGGGCAAAAGCCCACGTTCCAGATGCTTTGTCATTTGTCCTCATCTGTGACCTTCCAGGGGCCCCATCCTGCTCCAATTTTGGCAGCTACTTTCTGATTCCTCGTGCACAGTAAGGGTGAGATGAGTTAGAAGGACAAAAGTAGGCTGAAAAAGTAGTGAAGGATCAGCATTAACATGCATTTTAATAATATTTTTGACTTACCCTCAAGGGTTTTGAAATGACAAAGTCTAACAAAATGGTCCCAGTTCAACAAGGCACAGTTCAGATTCCTCAGATGGCCTAACTGTAGCTCTCTAGCTGACTCAGGAAACAGTGGTGTCCTCGTTCTCTTCAATGTGAATGACATGTTGGATTGAGAGGAAAACCCATTGAAAAGTAAGGTGATTTTCTTCTAACAACAACACAAACCTCAACAAGCAATTCCATTTCTTTCTTTGCAGCAACTTATTTCAGCACATGTGGAATAATATTCATAATGAACATTTGTGAGTATATTTGCCCTAAATATGGTTATGGGATATCTTGCCCATTTCTGTGATCTATTAAAAGTGCTTTAAGAACATAATGAAAGTGGGGCAAAGTGGCACACACCTATAATCCTAGCTACTCAGGTAGCTGAGGCAGGATAATCTCAAGCTTAAGGCCATCCTGGAAAACCTAATAAGACCCTGTCTTGCAGTAAAAAAAGAAAAAAGAAAAAAGTGGGACTGAGCGTGAGGATGTCGCTCAGGGGTAGAACACCCCTGAGCTCTCAGTGGTAGAACCTCAGCCAGGCTCCCAGGAAGCAGCAGGGAGGGCGTGTAGGTTTCCTCTGAAGCAGCTTCTTCCCTGGTCCCGCTGCCTGCTGTCTCCAGCCCAGCCACACTGTGACTGCACCAGAATTCTGCTCATCAGGGGCCCTGTGGCACCAGTAAGTATATTCCTAACACAGAAAACAATGAACAAAAACAAAAATATCTCACAAAACAAAACAAGCTTCACTGGTCAAATTTGCATAATGCTTTTAAACTTTTTCTATTTTAAGCTTTTTAAAAATCCCTTCCTCATGGTGTGTGGGTGGGGGGCCTGAAACAGCTCAAAATATAAAGGCAAGGAAAGGAGGTGGATATGGTAGCACATAGGTGTAATCCCAGCTACTCAGGAGGCAGACGCACAGGATTTCGAGTTTGAGCCTAGAGGAGGCTAGGTATCCTGCCTCAAAAAATAAAAAATAAGAATAAAAAATAAAGGAGAAAGAGAACAGAAGCTGCTAGATCCTCAGATGGTTAAACATGAACTGAGGGGAAGTTCTCCCTGCTTTGATTAAAGTGAGTAAGAACATCTCTACTTTGAATTATGTTTTGTACCAAATTGAAAAACCACATCTTCATTTAAATTAAAAAAAAAACCAAAACACCAAATTTTATGAAATCGTAGGAAGTTTCATGTTAGCATTCTGGAAAAAAAATCACAAGAAATTTGGTACAAAAAAATTAAATTGCTTTCGTTATCTACAAGAATTCAAAGTTAAAAACTAGAAAAACTCACCACTACCACTGAAATGTACATTATCTTCAATTTATATGTTGTGTTCTAAAGTTCCAGGACAACAGGAAATTAGAATAATTTCTAAGAAAGTATCAAAGAAATAAAAATCAGATATAAAGGAGACAAGGAGGTTGAGATTTTAAAAATCCTACTTAACTACCGCTTCAAAACACAAAAGTTACTTAAGCCTTTTTCCCTTCCAGGAAACTCACTCCAAAAAATAAATAAATAAAATTAAAAAAATAAAATTCCTAAAGGTCCTAAAGACAATACGCTTGTAAATCCAGGCTCCGGATCTGTCGTTTTACAATAAACCTGTAAATCCGGACTTTGTATCTGTCCTTTTCACCTATAAATTATGCTTCCTCCACCCCCTGCGGAAGCCGCAATGGCTCTGGGCTGCATCTCAACTTCAAACACAGGCAGATGGTTTGCACTTCAATCAGAGAGACATCCTAGGCCACTCAGCTTGAAGACACCCCGTGCCAGCTCACAGTGCGCCTCACTTCTCTGAGCGCCTCCACTGCACCCCTCAGTGTGTCCCGGATCTCTAAGAAGCCCTTTCATGTCTCTTAGTGATGCAACTGGAAAGCTGTTCTTCCACAGCAGGGATCAGTGAGCCCCAGAACGTACACTGTGAGGGTGGGATAGATTCCCTATTCTCAGCCCCGGGGACCCCCAGACCCAGCCTACTGACATCTCTCTGGGTGAGCCAGTGGCAGCAGGTGAAGAGCAGTGTGGAAGGGACCACTTTGGTTAAGTCCTGACAAATGCTTTTTATTATTTTCTGTCTTCACTCCCGCTTTCTCCCAACCCTTTGCCTCTGAAGCACAGTTTATCTTTCTCTCTCTCTCCCTCTGCAGCTTGAGGGTTTGTTTTGTTTTCTTGTTTTGTGTTTTGTCTTTTCCAGCAGCCAGACACTCCTAAACCCTCTAGAAAATGGGACTGAAAACAAGACGGGCTGGCTCTCTCCAAGCAGTAACAGCAGGGGGTGTCCCAAGGCACCGGGTCATGGAGCAGCCTCCCTTGGTTGTCCTTTGATCTATACACCTCGTCCCTGGCTCAGATGGAGCTCTGGAAAATCTTAGTCCTCCAGGAAGACACAAATAAGCATGAGGCCCCTTCAGGATCATTAGCCACACAATTGTCATGAGAACCCCAATCCTGAGACCCAGGGGAGACAGACAATCTCCAGGTCACACTAGCAAAAGCGGTCTCCAAAAGTGTGCACACGCGTGGGTCCTACCCTGTTTAGCCTGCGGGAAGGTAAAGATATCTGCTTTGATCTCTCTCTCAATCTCTCTCCAAACCAAAGGGCACAAACTCTGTCTGTTGGACGCCGCAGCTCCCCTTTTAGGGTGGCTGGGAATGTGTCCCAAGCCATGCAGGCTTGAGTGCTCATTCTGTTGATTACTGACAGCATCCACGGAATGTGGCAGATGCTATGGACTTGTGGCACTGATCCCCTTCTTGTCCCTTCTCTCCCACCCGGCTTTCATCTTTCAGAAAATTCAACCCCTTTCAATACAGGAGAAATACAACTTTCAACGTGCTATGTGTTAGATATGTCATTTGTGTCTCCAGAAATTAATGAATTTTGAGGAACAACAGAGGTTATGGGTAGGGAAGATTTATGGAGAGATACAGTACCTCTCCAGAGACAGGGGGTAGTTTGAAAGTGAGTTGTCACCAAGGTCATTTTTTTTTTTTTTTTTCCCTTTTCCAACACGGTCTTGCTATGTAGTTCAGCCTGGCTTTGAACTCACTATATAGTCCAGGCTGGCCTCAAATTCGTGGTGAGCCTCCTGCTTCAGCCTCCCAGTGTGTTACAATTACAGGCATACACTGTCGCATCAAACTCTGAGGTTTCTTCTTAAAGACTATTTTATAGACCAAAATCACCAAATAATTTAGAATTATGAGGTAAATACAGTGTGGGTCAAACTATAATCAACCAGTAAGATTGTAAGTACAACCACTGAGCTAGCATTGATCAAATAGAGAAGGAGGTCACAGCAGCAAGGGTACATGGAGAGAACAGGGGCATTTTTGGAAAGGGATGGGTCTGCATACCCTGGTCCACTAGGGTGACTGAGGTTTCTCTGGCCTTTATTAGACCAGGAGATACCAACTATAGTATAATTTTAAGCTTGCATTTATCTTTTAGGGAGGCATGTAGTTCTAAGCCATTGTATTTTTATTTTGAGGCCTGGCGCTTAGCAGACGAGCGGCTAGCCATAGTTTTATTGTTTTTGTTTTTGTTTCTTTTATGTCATTGACTTTTTTGAGAATCTAGTCTCTCTTTTTTTTTATTTAGAGAAAAAAGCAAAACAGAAAAAGGGTAGAAATAATACAGAATTTTTTTAAAAAAACCCTGTATATTAATTCTTATTTAACTTAGCAGCTATGATATTTTTCCCTCTGAAGGAGAGAAGGGACGTAACTTTAATCCAGCTAGTTTGAGCTGAGGAGGGTCAGTGTGGAGAAGCCCAGTCGGAAGCCTTCTCCAGAGATCTAATCTGACTGCCCTGGGATTAGCAGTTATGAGCTCCCTTTATAAGGTATGTCCAGGATTTTTTTTTTTTTTTTTTTTTTTTTTTGGTACGGGGATTGAACTCAGGATTTGGGCTTGCAGGCAAGCGCCCTGTCACTGAGCTACATCCCTGGCCCTTGCTTTATAATGCTAATCTAATGGATTCCGGTAAAAGGAGGTAAAAGGAATTAAAAGGAATGTGACACACCTGTGGTTTTATCTGCATGATCACTTGAAGTCTGGCAGCCTCTAGGTGAAAATAAACAAAATTTTTCAAGAGATTAAAGCGTGAGCATTAGAATAGAAAGGCAGACTGGGGAAGGAGCCACACTCAGAAAGGGGACCCGAATAGCACTGTAACCAGGTGGCTCTCACGCCCTTTATTATCTGTAAACCTGATATTTTTTGTCACCAGTTTATCTAGTTTTAGCTGTCAGATGATGGAGAGTTTGGTGGTCTTGAGGGACAATTTTAGCAAAGGAATTTAAAGACCCTCATCGAGCTTTTACAGCTCCACTGTAGCTTTTTAGCCTTGTTGGACCACAGCCATGGTCAGCTGCAGGTGTAGCTGGAAGCTGTGGGCAGGGGTCAGTATTGGAGCTCTCTGTTCATATCTAGCCTTTATTATTATGGCATTATCTTGTATATTGTTTGGTTATATTTTCATTGGGTGTTTAAGGACAAGTTAAAGTCAGACCAGTGTTAATCAAAGTTAACCTCTCACTATGTATTAAGGTCAGTAAAGTCTCTCCAGGCATTACTCAGCTGTCTTGTTGGTATCAGCCACCAAGATGGGCTGTGGTCTTCTTTCCTGACCCTGGGGCTTTCTGGGAAAGCAAAGGCGATTTTTTTTGGTCACCCTCTTTTTTGGCACATTTGTGTTTTGGGGGGAGGGTCCAACACTCTCTCTGTGTAGGAAGTTGGGTGACTCACTAAAGTAGCATCTTTGGGTGTGTGTGTGTGTGGTTCTAGGGATCAAACTCACGAGCTCACATTTGCCAGGCAGGCGCTTACTGAGCTAAATCCCCGGCCCTAAAGTAGCATCTTGTAGAAAAGGTCCCCTCATGTCCTGGGTCCTTGACCTTGAGAGCCAGCACCACTAGCTTTTCTTAGTCAACTTTCTCAAAACCTCTGTGGTTTAACTAACACCCAGAGGAGAACATTAGTGTTACATTTTATGATTTTAAAATAACAGTTTTCCTGTTTGAGCACCTTGAAATATACAGTATGACTGATGAACGTATTTTTTTTTTTACCAGTCATGGTTGTTTTAGAAGTTGAAACCCTGAGGAATGTTAATAGATAACAATTATAACGTCTTATAAAGAAAACTTAAGAGCAAGGGCCACCTAGCATTTTAATTAACATGGCAATTATTATCTCTGAAACAAATTTAAATGTCTATCTTAGTATAAAATAACATTTTAGTCAGTTATCTTTATCTAACTGTAAGATATTAAATGAAACAAAAATTTTTGTTCTCTTTTAATCCTTTTGTTATCAGTGACATTTAAATAGAATGTATTTGTGTATATAATGAACAATATAATATTTATCTCCAAATGTAATAGCAGCCTATAAAGATGCTTGGTTTTTACAGGAAGTCAATGTTTGATCTAAGAGCAATAGTATATCTTTTTTGCTAAATTTATAGTCTGAGTAAATGTCCTAAAGACCTCAGTGTACTTATTAAGATTGTTTGAACACTTTTTTAGATCTTGTTTGACCTGTGTGAGGTCACTGAGCAAAAGACACATAGACATAGGTAGGGGTGAATTTCCCATCCACTCCTGTGAAGGGTGTTGTCTGTGGGCAGCTTGAACAGTATCAGGCAGAGTGGACACAGCCCAGCAGAAGTTTAGTTAGTGGGAAGCCTTGTCCAAGGGTATGGAGGACACAGGAGGGGAGCCTTAGACTCAGTCAGAGGAGATGTGTTAGACTGCACCTTAAGGGCACTAAGTGGGCTGCCCAAGCTGTTTGAACTGGGTTTGAGGCTCTCCAGAGGAGCACAGTACTGTTTGGGCTGCCTGCTACTAACTGGCAGGAGCCTGGTTTGGGGCAGGCAGCTCATGTGTCTTCAACTTGGAGAACTATCTAGGCTCCCATTTTTTCTTTTCATTCTTGATATCTTTACAAAAGTACACAAGGGAAATTTTAAAAGACATAGTCTATCTTAAATGATTACGGGTAACCCAGTGTCTATCCCCCAAAATATTGGCTTTAGACTATATTTTATGAACTTGGAACCAATTTAAGATAAATGTTTGTTTGTTTGAGACAGGGTTTTGCTATGTAATCCAGTCTGGCCTTGAACTCACTATGTAGCCTAGGCTGGCCCCGAACTCACAACAATTCTCCTGCTTCAGCTTCCCAAAATATACCTTATATAGACATATAAAATGATTGAATTCTTTGGCACCTTTAAATTGGTCCTGCCATTTGAAATGTGATCCACATCTATTTATGACTGATAATACTGTTTCCTAAACTTGTAAGAGGTCTAAAAAGTTTTTTAAATTTTACCAGTGCAGTTACACTTTATAAATTGTTAAAGAAATCTAAATTGTGCCCCATAAAAACTCAGCAAATATGTGTAAAAATTTCTATGTAACTGTGACCCTAGTTATGGCTACCCCCATGGTCCACTGTGTTTCCCAAGTGTACAGGCCTCCTAAACTGTGGAACTTGGGACAACATCTTAGATTGATGACCTCCGGACCATAGTCGTTTACGATGGACGTTTATGATG